TCTAGGACACCCTCATGTATACAATGTTACAGCATATTGCAACGGTATTTATAATGTCCCAGTACTCAGAAACAGTATCTGTAAAGGATCAGTACTCTGCAACAGTGTCAAGTCCCAGGGCATCCTAACAGTGCATACAATGTTACAGCATCTTGCAGCAGTGTCTACAATGTCCCTGCAGATTGATGCGAGATGCGGGGATTTTGTAGTCACAGGTGCCGAGCAGAGTTCTGGGACTTTGTAAACACTTTTGTAAGATGCTGGAACCTTGTTGGCACTGTGGTGGGTTTGTGGGATTTGCAGACTGCTAAGACTTTGCAGCCATTGTTGCACAGTGCCAACACAGTGTAAAAACAAGCACAGAGTGCAGAGACTTTACAAACACTGTTACCAGATGCGGGAACTCTGCAACCATTCTGGCAAGTAGCTGGGACTTTGCAGAACACTTTTGCAGACTGCTAAGATTTTGCAGGCACTGTTGCACAGTGCCAAGACTGTGCAGACACAACTGCAGGGTATAGAGACTTTAAAAATACTGTTGGAAGATGCGAGGACTTAGTAAGCACTCTGGCTGGGACTTGGCTGACACAGCTGCAGAGTGCTGAGACTGTAGGTACTGTGGATGGAAGAGTGGTCTTTGCAGGTGCTCTATCAAAGTTTGTGACTGGGTTGGAATGTGTGACCGGTCACGTGGTCACACATTTTAACGTAATCACGCCCAGTTTTTCTGGGGTGGAATGTGTGACCATGCAAAGGTCAAGCATTCCAACGCTTTGTCAGCTGTTCCAGGGCAGATCGGCATTGCAGATCTTATGTGCAGGAGAACCGATCTGCCCTGGAACAGCTGATTGGTCCTGAAATGTCACTTCCATCAGACTTTGTGAGTGGGGTGGAATGTGAGATCGTACTCACAGAGTCGGATGGAAGTGACATTTCAGGACCGATCAGCTGTTCCAGGGCAGATCGGTTCTCCTGCACATAAGATCTGCAATGCCGATCTGCCCTGGAACAGCTGACAAAGCGTTGGAATGCTTGACCTATTGGTGGTCACGTATTCCACCCCAGAAAACCTGGGCAGGATTATGTTAAAATGTGTGACACGTCACCGGTCACACATTCTAACATAGTCACAACCTTTGATAGAACACAGGCACTGTTACAAGATGCTGGAACTCTGTGGGCACTGTATTGGGATGCCAGGGACTTTGCACAGACGGTTGCCAACTGGTTAAACCTGGTAGGCCCTGTGGCAGGAGGATGCTGGGACATTACAGACACTGTTGCATACTGCTAGGACTTGGCAGGCACTGTGTTGAGGTTTATTTATTTATTACAGGTATTTTATGTAGGTTCTGGGACTTTGCAGACACTTTGGTACGTTGCTGGGACTGTGCAAACACTATTGTAGACTGTCGGGACTTTGTAGGCATTGTGATGGGACATTTCAGGCACTACTGCAGACTGTTGGGACTCTGTAGGCCAGGGGTAGCAAACTGTGGTGGAACTACAAATCCCATGAGGCATTGCAACATTCTCACAGCCACAGACATGACTCCCGAAGAGAGATGCATCATGGGATTTGTAGTTTCACCACAGCTGGAGGGCTGGAGGTTTGCTACCCCTGCTGTAGGCAATGTGGCATGGCTGTGGGACCTTGCAGACACTTTTCAAAATTGCTGGGACTTTGCAGGTGCTATGATAGTATCTGAGACTTTGCAGTCATCGTTGCAAACTTCTGGGACTTTGCAGGGTTCTGGGGCCTTGCAGACAATCTACAAAACTTCTGGGACTTTGCCGGCGCTGTGGCAGGAAGCTGGGACTTTGCAAGCACTGTTTAACTGCTGGGACTTTAGGCCTGATTCACACCTGTACGTTTTGTAGCGCGTTCAACGCTCTACAAAACGCTCAAACATGAAAATCCCATTGTTTTCTATGGGTCTGGTTCACACCTTGCCGTATTTCAGCCCGTCTGAACGCGCTACAAAACGGCCTACGCTTGAAAACGTACATGAGCTTCTTTGCGGCGTTTTTGTCGCGCGTTTCCATTGGGATACAGCCAAGTAGCCCTCGGAAATGCGCGTTTGTCGCGCGTTTTTTTTTAACCGCGAATCGCAGGAAAAACGCACGTCACGAAACGAGCGACAAACGCGCATATTCGCTACGCCTAGGTGTGAACCCAGTCTTATATGTACTGGGTGGGATGCAGGTACCTTGCAGACTCTGTTGCAGCCTCCCATATTCTGGCTTTGCAGGCCTCTTTGCAAAGTTCAGGGACATCCATGTAGAAAATGGCGGGGTGCGTGCAAATTTTGTGTGTGATTCCAGGTTCCTGGGACCAGCGGAAAGTGCTGTAGGGTACTGGGAGCAATTTTCTGTGTGTGCACGCCTACTTGTTTTAGGAAATACCGGAGTGCCAGTGATAATTACAGCAATACATGCCGAGATGTGAGAGAGTGCCTAACATCCCAGGAAAATGTCCTGACACGCACGGCTACAGAACGATATTTGCTTTGGCACAAAGCTAACAGATCTCATATCACCCATTTTGTCAGTCTTATTCCTGACGCTGGCAACAAACACCCTTCACTGCAGCTTATCCCTCTCCAGCCCTAGACAGTTACACGATCGCTGTTTCCAGAGTAACCACAACAGGCCAAAACACTGGCTCTGCCGAGTCCCGTCCACACGCGGGGAGAGCGGCTGGGTGTGGGAATGGAAAGATGTAGGTCATCTTCAACACGTAATACCGACGAAAAAGGGCGACTGCCGGGGAGCAGCAAATCTACCTCAGTAACAAGATTTCTGAATGTTAAAGTGCAACTCCAGCACCAGAATGGCAGTTCTGTGACCAAAGCAGCTATAACGCAACACTGTCTCTTTTAGATTCCCTCCTCCACATGCCTATGTCTGCAGAACTGGTAATTGGCAATAGGGATCTTCAGCTTTCAAATTAGTCACAGAGGGGTCTTTCCTTTCTAGAAATGGCTTTCAGTCAACAAGCATGCAAGCTTAAGAGTTACTGAGCTCACCCAGCTCCCTCCTCGCAGCAGTGACTCAGCTCCCCCCTTCAACTGATAACTCAGCAGCTCAGCTCCCTCTACTCTTGCTTCCAGAAGAGATTTAGTAGTTTAGATCCCCTTGCTACTCCCTTTTTTTCATTGACTCAGCAGCCCAGCTCACCCTGTTCACATTTCCCAGCAGTGACTCAGCAGCCCAGCTACCCAGTGATCCCATCTCCCAGCAGTGACAGCAGCCCAGCTCCCCGTGATCCCACCTCCCAGCAGTGACAGCAGCCCAGCTCCCCGTGATCCCACCTCCCAGCAGTGACAGCAGCCCAGCTCCCCGTGATCCAACCTCCCAGCAGTGACAGCAGCCCAGCTCCCCGTGATCCAACCTCCCAGCAGTGACTCAGCAGCTCAGCTCCCCGTGATCCCATCTCCCAGCAGTGACTCAGCAGCCCAGCTCCCCGTGATCCCATCTCCCAGCAGTGACTCAGCAGCCCAGCTCCCCGTGATCCCATCTCCCAGCAGTGACTCAGCAGCTCAGCTACCCCTGTTCCCACCTCCCAGCAGTGACAGCAGCCCAGCTCCCCGTGATCCAACCTCCCAGCAGTGACTCAGCAGCTCAGCTCCCCGTGATTCCATCTTCCAGCAGTGACTCAGCAGCCCAGCTCCCGCTGTTCACATCTCCCAGCATTGACTCAGCAGCTCAGCTCCCCGTGATCCAATCTCCCAGCAGCTCAGCTCCCTGTGATCCTATCTTCCAGCAGTGACTCAGCAGCCCAGCTCCCCCTGTTCCCATCTCCCAGAAGTGACTCAGCAGCTCAGCTCCCCGTGATTCCATCTTCCAGCAGTGACTCAGCAGCCCAGCTCCCCCTGTTCCCATCTCCCAGAAGTGACTCAGCAGCTCAGCTCCCCGTGATCCCACCTCCCAGCATTGACCTGGCAGCTCAGTTTTCCCTGCTCATCCCTCCTATCAGCTCCCCCTACGCTTGCTCCCAGAAGAGACTTAGCAGTTTTCCTCCCTATGCTACTCCCTTTCTTTCAGTGATTCAGAAGCTAAGCTCCCCCTGATCCCACCTCCCAGCAGTGACCTGGCAGCTTAGTTTTCCCTGCGTATCCCTCTTATCAGTTACTCAGCAGCTCAGCTCCCATCCCATTAGTGACTTAGCAGCAAAGATACCCCCTACTCTAGCTACCAATAATGACTCAGCACCTCCCCTCCCAGCAGTAACACAGAAGCTCAGCTCCCCCTGTTTCCCCCTCCCAGCAACCCTGCTCCCTTCTCTCATCAGTAACTCAGCAGCACAGTTCCCCCCTGCACCCATACCATCAGTGACTCAGCAACCCTGCCCCAATTACAACCCCCCCACTCACACCCCAGCCATGACTTGCTCCCCACTCTGGCTGGCAGGTGTGAGTGCCGGGAATTGTTAAGTTGTGCAATAATCGAATCCTCCCTTAATGTTTAAGAAGTCCACATGATGCTAGCTCAAAGCTGGCTACGTGGTTGGCACTCATGCCTTGTGGTGTATGGGCTCTAGGTGTGATTCCAGTCATCTGCATGGTAACAGATGGCATATTATTTCGTAACATATTCGGCAGCCTTGTATTGTGTGTGTACACTGATCGGAATGGATCTACGTACTCTATGAAGTGCCGCCGAATATGTTACCAATTAATAAATACGTCTACAAAGCTGCGCCGTGCTGTTCTCCATCGGTGAATGTGGCAGCCTGAGATTTCACTGATTGGAATGGATCTACGTACTCTATGAAGTGCCGCTGAATATGTTACCAAATAATAAATACGTCTACAAAGCTGCGCCGTGCTGTTCTCCATCGGCGAATTGTTTTGCACATTTGGCATTTATTACTGGCCATGAAATGTGTATTTCTAGGAGAACTTCTGATCTGCATGTTGATAACACTGTCACATTGAATTACATGTTTTCATGATGGGGCCGGAGATGAAAGCCTTTGCCCCGAGCATTCTACTCACTGTGAACGAGGAAACAGAAGTCTTTCCATGTCAGCAATAGAGTCAGCTTTGTGAAACCCTCGGCGTCGTACTCCACCACACCGCTGCAAAGATATAAGACAGTAAGGATCAGCACTTCCCACCAACACTGCCGTCCATACAATTATTTATTTTACCCTTTTATGCAGAAATTAAAGATTTTCCACAGAGAACACTGAACCATTCACATCAATTTTCCCTCCTCAAGGAAAGCTTACAAGTTCATGTCTCTACACACACAATGTATTGCCAATCTGGCTGCTCGTGATTTACAGCAAACATTGTAAGCGTGTCCAAGTAAAAAGAAAAGTTCACTCAATCTACCTTATATTAGATCTCAACTCTAACTGAATGAGACTTAGTTGGCTAAAGCACTGTGTATCATAAACAATTGCCTTTTTTTGCATCCATGAGTGTGTCAGCATGGCCGCTTATGGTCACCACGAGGGACGTATGCGAGAGTGAATATTTTAACCAAAGCGGCAGATTTAAAGGGGTTATTCACTATTGAGCCAAAGGATATAGCCGTAGCTTCAGTTGATCCTTCGGCTCTCTTCACAATAGCCGTACAGCAGCTCCCGAAGGCGGCCGAGCGGCTCAGCCGAGCCAAAGGCATATTCTTCAGCTTGACTGAGCCGAAGTGACAGCCGAAGCGGGGCGAACGACCTGCTGAAGGGCAGCCGTTTGCTCCGCAATGTGATCTCACGGCTGGCTCTTCGGCTCGGTTATTCACTCGGCTGCCTTCGGCAACTTAGTTACATAGTATTTGAGGTTGAATAAAGACATATGTCTATCAAGTCCAACCTATTGTGTGTGTGTGTAGGTCCTTGAGGCATCTCAACTTAGTGAATAACCCTGTAAGTCATCTTTGAAAATGACATTAACATGCTAAAGCTGAACCTTAGGCCGGCCTTTCTCAACCAAGGTGCCAGGTCACCCCAGGGTGCCTCCTGGCTTCCTCAGAGGTGCCTCAAAGTTTTGCATAGAGGCTCTGGGACTGAAGACTCTGATGTGAAGGGAGACTGAGGACTTTGATGTGAAGTGGGCTCCTGAAGTGAAGGGGGGACTCTGATGTGAAAAAGAGGGGGACTTTGATGTTAAGGGGAGTTTCTGATGTGAAGAAGGCTCCTGGTGTGAAGAGGGGGCTTCTGACATGAATGGGGGCACTGATGTGGCTCCATAAGGAGAATGGTGGATCCTGATATGAAAGAATTGACTTCTGATGTGAAAGGAGGGGGATCCTGATGTCAAGGTGGTTCCTGATGTACTGGGGGAGGGAGAGGGTTCTGATATGAAGAGGGGCTCCTGATGTAAAGGGGGACTCTGATTTGAAAGGGGGGCTCTGATATCAAGGGTGCTGGTAATCTGAAGGGGGGACTATAATGTGCAAGGGGGAATACTGATGTGAAAAAGGAGGGTGGATGTGAAATGGGGGTTTTGATGTAAAGAGGGACTCCTGATTTATAAGGGGGATCTCTGATTTAAAGGGGGCTCCTCATGTTAAAAGGTGTACTAGAATGGGGGGCTTCTGATGTGAAAGGATAGGACTTCGATGTGAAGGTGACTCCTACTCCCTTGTGTGTCCCTGTACCTTTAAGGAGGTTGGGCTGCCTCCTGGAGAACCTGTACCCAATTTTATCTTTTGCTGCATGTGCTCCAAGATGTAGACTCTCAAAGGTTAGAGTTAGGACCGCACTACACTGAGTGGACTTGGCGAGGTTGTGCGGCTTTCACATATTCTGCAGAAGACGTGTATCTAAACCTCTGTTTTTAACCTTAGCGGTGAGACAGGTTTTTTTTGCATGCTGGCTGGTGAGTGTGCTGGGAAAACTTTTTGCTGTTGATGTAAAGAGGGACTCCTGATTTGAAAGGGGGATCTCTGATTTAAAGGGGGCTCCCCATGTTAAAAGGTGTAGTGGAATGGGGTGGAGCTTCTAATGTGAAAGGATAGGACTCCGATGTGAAGGTGACTCCTACTTTTTGTGTTTTTGCATGCCCCCCCTGAAACCTATACCAGACCCCTATGGCAGATAAGGATCTGGTATAGATTTTAAAAGAGCCACACGTCTTTTTTTTAACATGTTTCCATTTACCCTTTTCTACATTTTAGACTGGGGTGCCTTAAGATTTTACATGCTTTTAAAGGGTGCCATGACTGAAAATAGGTTGAGAAACACTTCTCTAGGCAGGTCCCCACCCGGTACAGGCTGCCTGCAGAAAACTTCAGGAGAAGTCCAATCACCCTGCACAAGGAGAGAGAGCAGCAGTGACCGGTCTTTATTACAGAAGGGGGCGGAGACAAGTCCAGTCACCCTGCACAAGGAGAGAGAGCAGCAGTGACCGGTCTTTATGACAGCAAGCTCCAAAAAAGGATATAAATCTACTCTGTGTGCACCAAATGCCTCTGCAAACCGAGATATTACTATGAAATAGTAAAAGTGACATAATCACTATGCAGCGCATAGCGTGTGCATAGAGCAGAGCAGTAGCCCAGCAGGCTCCACCCACTACAGGCTGCCTGCAGAAAACTACAGGAGGGGCCGGAGATAAGACCAGTCAACCTGCACAAGGAGAGAGAGCAGCAGTGAGCAGTCTGGATTACTGCACAGATCTGGAAGAAATACACGAAGCTCCCCAAGATTTAAGGAAGAATACACATGGCTCTCGTATAGACAGAATATTTGCGTATCCCAGAATTCAACTTTACAAAAACGTGGCCAACTTTCATTTTGTGCTGATGCGCACACATTTTCGCAAGTTGTCCCATTAGAAGTGTTTAGCAGTGTTTCTCAACCTTTTTTTCAGTGACCCTTTAAAAGTATGCAAAATCTCGAAGCACCCCAGTCAAAAATGTCCTAGATTTTAAGGGGGACACCTTGCAAAAATACACAAAAAAGTTGGTTTCCCCCTTCACATTGAAGTGCCCCCTTCAAATCAGGATACCTCCCTTCACATCAGAGTCACCCTTTGCATCAGGAGCCCCCCTTCACATCAGGAGCCCCCCCTTTTCACATCAGAGTTCCTCTTTTACATCAGGAGCCCCCCTTCACATAAGAGTTTCCCCTTTTCACATTAGAGTTCCCCCTTTTCACATCAGAATTCCCCCTTTTCACGTCAGAGTGCCCCCTTTTCACTTCAGCGTGCCCCCTTTTCACATCAGCGTGCCCCCTTTTCACATCAGAGTTCCCGCCTTTTCACATCAGAGTTCCCCCTTTTCACATCAGCGTGCCCCCTTTTCACATCAGAGTTCCCGCCTTTTCACATCAGAGTTCCCCCTTTTCACATCAGAGTGCCCCCTTTACATCAGAGTTCCCCTTTACATCAGAAGCCCCCTTCCCTTCAGCCTTCATTCCCCCCTTCACATCACAGACCCACTACCACAAAATTTAGTGGCACCCGAGGAAGCCGGAAGGCACGCTAGGGATGCCACAGCACGGCATAGTTGAGAAAGGCTGATCTATAGAGCTTTGGAAGGGTGCCGTTGTCTCTCGTGCAACTCACCTGCAGGTCACAGAAGAGGGAAGGATCAGCTAAGATTCCAGAGAAATAAGTTGTAAAACTCGGGAAGGATCAGCCAGGGTTACATAAAGATTTTTCATTGATCTGGAAAACCTCCATTTTTGATAACAAGCACCGATGATATTCCTTACCACCTCCTACAGGTACCCCTGGCTAAGCATCAAATCAGGTCTATGAACGTGGCAGGATGTTAGATTGTAAGCTCCTTCAGGGCAAGGACTGAGTATATGGCTCAGTGTTCTCTGTAACACCTTTAAACCGCTGGCAGCAGTAAATCAATCAAAAAACTGATTAGGTGTTATCTGGAGCATCTTCCTAGAAAAGCGGCTTCATATTCACAGGAAACCGGTGACATCAAAGACACACACCAGCATACATTGCCAGGTTCTTCAGAAATGTTTTTATATCAGCCTCACATACAGCTAACACCCCACCTTGCTCTAGAGGAAGCCTGCTCTTGGTGGCACAGGTATAGCCCAAAGGGGAGAAACACAAACTGGTTGTTCAGGTCCTCCACTGCACAACAGAGAAAGCACTGGTGGGAACGAAAAATGTCTATGGTTGTCTATGGTTGTGTGTGAGATTGTGTCTGTGGTTGTGTGTGAGATTGTGTCTATGGTTGTGTGTGAGATTGTGTCTATGGTTGTGTGTGAGATTGTGTCTATGGTTGTGTGTGAGATTGTGTCTGTGGTTGTGTGTGTCTGTCAGTGTTTTTAAGGGCCCGTTCACACGAGTACAGTGCGTTAAATCACACAGTCCTGTGCCATTACCGCACTGTACCACACAATCGCACCTACTATGTGTTCTGGCGCGGGAGGTGCATTGCTTTGCCATTTATTTAAATGGCACCCCAAATGAACCTCACGTCCACAGTTCAATCACCCATACCGGAATGCCGTGCGTTCCATTGTAGTGCGACTTAATGACCAAGGACAAATGTGGGTCCTGAGGTTACACAGGTTGAGAACCACTGCACTATAGGATGCACTCTGTCCTTCTTGGGGACTGTGTACAGATTGAGAAAAAAATTCCCAGCAAGCTTTCAAAGGAGGGACCTGGGACTATCACCCACTGAGCAAGCAGGGTCTGCAGTGCAGAGGGCAAATCTGCCAAACGTGGAGAAAAACACAGATTTGAGGTGAAAAAATGCTCTGGAGGACAAGACTGGAATTCTATTTTGTAATCTGAGGAAATCAACTGCTGCCCCTTAGGATTCCCTGATGGGGGTCACATCTTTATGCTGCGGGGGGCTTACCCAAAGACTTAGAGAGTTTGGGCTGCCAGGGATACCGCATACCTTGTCCAGCGTATAACTCAACTGCCTTGCTCTTGACCTATCAGTCAAAATTCTGTGTTGTTCAATGAATGAAAGAGAAATACCTATCGATCCTGAAAGAAATTCAATGAGCTCCTAACTTCCTGTTTGAACTGACAAATCTGACTCCACTGCAATCCCTGAAAACCTAACCAGTGTTGTCAGCCCTGAGTTCTACGTGCTAGACTACAGAACACAGTTCATGAACCCATTGCACTCAAAACCGCTGTTCCTTATAAAAGACGGGTGCTGCGGCAGTCGACGGATGGCAACCGTCTATAATCACAGGATAACATTAACACCGGCACTCCAAGTAATGAATCAATGGCGTCTGTTTATTGACGCATGAAACATAGCACAATGCATCAAAAAGCTTTTTGATGCATTGTGCTATGTTTCATGCGTCAATAAACAGACGCCATTGATTCTTTACTTGGAGTGCCCGTGTCTCTGTTATCCTGAGACTACAGAACACTCCCTCTTATTTTATGAAGCTGAGCTTTAAAACAGTGATGAGTATGGCTTGTATAGTGTCTTATACCAGAAGTGTAGGTATTAATAGCTCATTATTAAAGGAGAACTATGGGATTAAGGCTTTTCCCCATAATTCACCTTAGGGTAACGGGAGGACACAAACTAGCGTCCTCCCGTCACCCTAAGCTCAGTATACCGCGAGCTACTGAGACGCCGCAGCTGAAGCGGATCCCGACAATTATGTCTGGATCCGCCCAGCTGCGTGAGTGACAGCTGGCTCTGCCTATCTAGAGGGCAGAGCCAGGTGTACCCGCCCCCTCCCCCGTCCGTTCCGCCAGTCAGAGCTGGAGGATCGGAGCGGGGAGGGGGGAATCCTTCCCCTCCCCTGTCACGGAAGAGCGCCGTGACAGGATCGAGAAGTGGGCGAACGCCGGTATGTGTTCGCTCACCTCCCGATCTACTGAGCCGACCTGTGACAGTCTCATTGTCACAGGTCGGCTAGAACTATGAGGTGAGTGAAAAGCCCTCACCTCATAGTTCTCCTTTAATGGTCATGTGACACTATAGATCACATCATCCAGTACAGGGGATGCATCACAGGGCAGCATCAATGTCTTCTCTGCCTGCTGCGGAAAATCTTCTGAAAACAGCTAACTGGCTGTGCACTCGGTATGATTCTAAGCTTTACTAGGTATGCTCATTGTTAAAGCTTGATTTAATCTTTACTTTAAATCAGCTAAATACATTTCAGCTGCATTAAAACAAAATGCAATGTGTTACAGTTTGTTTTCTTTAGAAAGCAGCCAAAGCCTGATTAGAAAAGTCTGTACCCGCAAGCATGTTGCAGAGAAAGACCCTTGTTTCTATATAGAAGCAGTGATCTCTCCAAGTCAGTCCTCTCTGCAGTCAGTAAAGCTCATGCTGCCCTGCTGTTTGGGGAGCTCTGACTCTGCACAGCATGGGGTGTGTTAGACCTCTGCGAAAAAAAATCACTGCTTGCCCAGAGAGAGAAAGGGTTCCACCCTGCAGAATGCTGGCAGGAGACAGGCTTTTCTAAAAGCCACGTGAGCAGGGTCAGATTAACGTAGGGCCTACTCCAGGTCCACCATTGAAAATAGGTCTGGCTGGCCCGGATCGCCTCGGTATGCCCGATGGCAATCTGGGCCGGCCGGGCTTACCACAATCAGGTAGAGGCCCTGGCGCCTCTCTAATCAGGCATATTAAGTGGCCACTTTCTGGGGCTCTTGAGGAGCGAGCAGCTACTTAATTAGAGAGACAACTCTGCGTTTTCCATCTGACTGACTGACAGAACCAGGCCCATGATGCTCTTAATCCGGCCCTGCACGTGAGCACTGCACTGTATTATTGGTTGTAATGTGCCCATCCACGGGTTATGGGGGAGGAGAGTACACCAGTCAAAATCTGTAAGGCCGCCAACCGCACTTGCAAACAGGCCAACAAGACAAAACTCACGTTCCAAAGTGGCTCAGGAAGGCAGCGATATATTCTCGTCTTTTGTGGTAACCTTGTATGACGTACTGAACCTGCAAACCAAGACACACACATTAGTACAAGCTGACACCTCTTGTGTACATACACATTACTACAGGCTAGGAGGATAACAGCACTTCTGATAAAAAAATGTCAAGCAACAATAGGCACACCTTGTAATGTCACGCTGATAATAAACAGTTACCTGTTCACATTGGAAAGTCCTCGCTTCCACTGTATGGGCTGTGCAGCCAGGTGACTACTATAACAAGGGACCTGCAACCAGTGTGCTCTGAGATAAAGGCTGACTGGGTATGACCTGTGTCAAGGTTAGAATATATATTTAGGCGGTGCTGGATTGTTTGCTATTGGGGTCCCGTATTGCCAAGGTCAAATCAGATCCATGAAGCTCTCTGGCTCCGGTTAGGCTGCTCTTAGCAGCTGGGCAACTCCAAAGAACTCTCCTGATAGAACTGGGAAGAAGAAGATGCAATGAAAGTGACACACCAATGGTCATACAAAGCAAAGTGATCTTCACTTGCTTTATAATGGACTAACAAATGGTAATACAGCCAAGTTTCGGGGGTCTAGCCACTCCCCCTTTATCAAGGCTTAACAAGGATCGTAAACTGGGACTCTGGGGATTGGTCAAAAAGAGATTAAGGGATCGCTGATAATTCTGCCAAATTGTGAGTCCTAAAAGCTGATGATTTATTGCAGGGATGTCCAAGCTGCGGCCCTCCAGCTGTGGTGGAACTACGAATCCCATGAGGCTTTGCAAGATTCTCCCGGAGAGAGATGCTTCATGGGATTTGTATTGTATATTTATTGTAAGATAGCCAAACAGGCACATCCATGTTTCTGGTGATCGGTCTCTTACTGATGACCGAGGATTGGTTTACCAAAAATTCACGCAACTTTTCGAATACAATTAAACAATTGATTCGAGTAGCATATTTCCTATACAATGCAGAAGAACTCCGGGAAAAACTTTTACTAACCTAGACGAAAATGAGCAGTTAACCCTTGCAGGGCAGGGGCAGCCCCACTACATAGGTTAATAAAAGGTTTGCTCTGAGTTCTATTTTAAAGCCACACACCTGGAAAAATGATAATCTACGCTCCACACTGGGTGTGTAAATGATCATTAAAAAGCTGGGTGTTATGTACGGAGGGGGGCTGCAAAGAAGAAATATTTTACCCTGCAGCACGCCATCCTCTGCACACAACGCTGGGCTTCCAGCCACTGAGGAGAGGGAGCAATCTGAAGCAGTACAGCACTCCGGTCGCATCACTCGCCCCTCCTCACTCCTGTCCATTCACCAAAATGTATTGTATTTTATTGATGGATACAAGGCCTTCTGTGATTGGAGGAGGAGGAGGAGGAGGCGGGAATGTGACATCACCTGTCCTCCGTGAGTCGCATTTCTCCTTGGAAGACCGGTGTCCTATTGAAAGTTCCAACCCGTCGAGATCTCAAATGACTTGACTTCCGGTTTAGTTAGAAGTAAGAGGTTTGCGGCCATATTGAGTGGGGCACCTCTGATTAATAACTTCCTGGATTAGTCTGAACCTAGTTCATTTTAATACTTTATTGCTGTGTAGTATGTGTGTAGGGAAATGCCGCGGGTGGCGCACGTGCAGTACAGCCTTTTCGGCTAAACCTCTTAATTCTAACTAAACCGGAAGTCAGGTCGTTGGAGATCTCGAGGAGTTGGAGTTTTCGATAGAACACAGGCACGATGTGCAGGAGATGTCATGCTGCAGGGTTTCTATACTTTGCAGCCACCCTCTGGATATAACACCCGGCCTTTTAATGATAATCACCCAGTGAGGTGTGTAAATGATAATTTTTCCACAGAGTGTAGCTTTAAGTCACTGTTATGACTTTGGGCAGCCTTCAATACGTGTTACATATGAAATTTGGACTCGAGTTCTCTCCTCTCGTGCTCCGTTTATGAAATTCTCGCTCTTGGCCAGCGATGGGAGAGCAAAGACCGTGTTATGTGTTTGTTCTGGCAGCAATGGAGTCTCAGCTGCTCATTGCTATTTCACAGAATAAATCAGAGCACTTCCAAGGAGTGAAGCAATGTGTAACCTATATCAGATTTCCAGAATCTGCCGGATATTACTGCCAGAGAGTCCCTGATCTAGAACTACAAGTCACCCACACAGCTTGCTGATCCCACTTGTACTCAGGTTAGAATTAAAAGAGATCTATGAGGTGAGTGATTTCAACTCATCCTCATAGTTAGAGCCGACCTGTGACAAAGAAGCTGTCACAGGTCGGCTCTATTGATAGGGAAGTGAGCAGAAACATGCACCGATCTGCTCACTTCCCGATCGTCTCCCTGGGGTGAGTGGTGACTGTCAGGCATCGCTCCCCGCAGGGATTCCCCCCTCCGATCCTCCAGCACTGACTGGTGGAACGGACGGGGGAGGGGGCGGGCACAGCTGGCTCTGTCTCTAGATGGGCAGAGCCAGCTGTCACTCATGCAGCTGGGTGGATCTCGACAGTAATGTCAGGATCCGTCCCGGCTGCGGCGCTCACAGTATATCGCGGACAATAGCCTGCTATATACTGAGCTTTGGGTCATGGGAGAAGGTTAGTCCCCCCGTGACCCTAAAGAGAACTATGGGGAAAAACACTTACCCCATAGTTCTCTTTTAAAGCTGAACTCTAAACAGATAAATCACAGAAGAAATACATACTGAATATCTAACCTGCGTGCATTTACCTGCATGGATTTGTATTTCTGGCCATCCAATCCTGGGATCTACACAGCACAGTCCTGTCTGGCAGGGAGGGGGACCTGACCTTCCTCTGCTGCATTTTCATTTTCACTTACAGGTCTCCACCCCACCCTGTATCTGGACAGTGAAAGGAGAAGCAGCACACTCATGAGCCCATCTTTCTGCTCTCTGCTTCTATCAGCATGCTCCATGCGCTGAAACACATCTGATTTGCTACTCCACCCTTCCCCTCCCTGTGCCCTGGTGTACAGTAGACTGCATGAAGCTGATTTTGAGTCAGATTCAGGTAGTTAAGTGGCTTGCATTTTAAAACAGATTTAATAATGCCGTAAAGAACACAGACAAAAATATGTGTCTTTCATGTCTGCTTGGAGTCCAGCTTTAAGTGGCTGGGTAAGAGTGAAAGAAAACATTGTTCTGTCTAATAAAGTTTTTTTTTTATCAGTTACTCGCTAGCATTTCATTGCAGTTCTGCAAACTACAAATATACTCTACGGATTGGGTACCACCCTACCCTGTTAAAGCTCCCTAAATGTGTAAGTGCCACTTAGGCTATTCCACGTCCGGCGACTGCTTCCCAGATCTGCAAGGCTGCCGCCAGGTCTTCTGTTCACCTGTTTTCTACGTTTTACCAGGTAGATGTTAATGATGTTAGCTCAAGACATTAGGCCCTTCAGGCAGCTCTGGGGGCTGCAGGCTGCCCCCAGGGTTTATTCTCTTACACGGGCCTGTTAATATTTTGATACCACTGCCCACCCCTCAGTTGGATGCATTTTGACGTCCCAGCTGTCACTTAATAACACAATCCTGTGTCCCTTAATGAACAAGAAAGAACAGAGGATTGTTGGACTTCATTTAAGGATATAGGTCCTACCCATCTGTGTTTGTGAACTACTTCTAGTACTGCAAAACTTAAGCATGCTGGGAGTGGGAGGCGCCAGTGGCATCACAAGGGTGGTGCGGCCTGCACCCGGGTAACACCATTGGAGGAGTGACACCAAAATGACTGATAGTCCTTTTGGTGTCACCCCCTCTGAAATGTCAGGCACTCAGTCATGGACTGAGAGCCCGACAGTTGCCGGAGAGAGGAGGGGACCCGGGGGCATACCTTATCTCGCCGGGTGAACGTCCCCTCCTCTCTCTGTCAGCGTCCATCACCAAGATGGCCGCCGGCAGGTATCACCAAGATGGCTGCGCATGCGCGATGACATCCGTCTATCTCCCACTCTGACTGCCTTTGGGCGATCCCTACTCATCTCTTCAGGGAAGCCGATCCCACCTCATCCTAACCACTCAACCATCACGTTCTCAAACAATTCATCCCCACACAGCTACCTCCTCATGCATCACTTGCCCCTCCCTTTTAGATTGTAAGCCCTCAGGGGCCGGGCCCTCCTTACCATCTTGTCTTGAATTGTATTGTGATTGTAATGTCTTCCTTATATTGTAAAGCGCTGGGCAAACTGTTGGCGCTATACAAATCCTGTATAATAATAATCACGGCGGGGTGTCACCTGATACCCGTTCTGGGTGACATCCGGCCTCGGGATGTCCCTGGGAGGGGCTATACCTGGCTGGTCATTCTTTTTTGTTTGCCAGCATTTGAATCTTCCTGCAGGCAGCAGTATAACCCAACTGTGTTTGAAAAACTGAATCCTCAGTCGCTTAATTAACTGCACAAAACACATTTTACAGTAGATGCAAAAACCAGATTTTTGAAAACAAACACACACGCATAATATATCCTACATTGAAAGAAACTTGTAAAGACAGAAATATGGGACAGACCATTGTTGAGGCAATTAAAGGTCAGAGGTCTTCTCAAGTCTGATATTTGTTGGCCTGACAGTTGACTGACCCCACATGCTATCTCCCATCATCTGAACAACTGTCAGGCATCATGTGACCCCTGAACCCCAAGATATCAGCTAATGCATTAGACTAGGTTCAATAAAAGGGTATAACATATAAATCATTTATAAGTAAGCCTGCACCATCATAATAAGTCAAGGCTGAAATGTTAGCCCTACAACAAGTTACATTTTTTTTTTATTCTTAGAGTGGGGAAGGGTTAGGACCCCTGTCAGTAATTTATATTGCCATCTGTGTACCTGCTGGGAGGCAACAATCATTTTAAAAATATCTAAATGCAGGTCAGGACTATACACAATACGCCTACAGCAACCTGACCCAATAACAATCATTTTTCCACACTGTACGCATGCTGCTCTTATGTTCTCTTGATGGTCTCCATGGCGGTGCTAAAGTGTGTTTTCTGGGCCTGATGGGACAATGAAAGGAAAGAGCTGTACAATAATACCGCAATCAACTGCAAAAGTGGCCTCCAGAGCAGAGTTTGTGCGTAAGTCACTGTCAATGCCTGTGGATGCGCTTATTGATTAAACTGTTTGTTGAGTCATCGGCAACTATTAAAGGAATGGAGAGGACAGCCACTTATACTCCGTGACACCACTAGAGGAGGGGCAGCAGCTGCAGCGATCGGCAAAAAATAATTTGCTTGCAAGATATATGTTAAATGTATACTCTTAAAGTGGACCAGCACCAGATATATTTTTCCATGTTATGTACTGTACATGTATGCTATGTACTGTAATGTGTAGTTACTAGGGATGCACCGAAACCAATACTAGTACGGGTGCCGATACTGAGTATTTGGGCCAGTACTTGTACTCGTCCAAATGCTCCCGATGCCTATTCCGATACCGGAACTTCCGGTATCAGGAAGCCGGGCGGGGAGTGAATACACGCTGCCCGTCTTCCTGATTGGCCAGGAAGCCGGATCCCTCATCACCAGGGAACTTGGAGCTGGTTTCCCGGCCAATCAGGAACCCGGTTGGTGAGTCATTACCCACCCCACCAGCTTCCTAATTGGCCAGAAAGCCGGCTCCATGCTTCCTAGTTACCTGGTGATGAGGGAGCATGGAGCCACCTTCCCAGCCAATCAGAAAGCTGGGCAGCGTGTAATGACTTGCTGCCTGGATTCCTGATTGGTCGAGAAGCTGGCCAATCAGGAAGCCAGGCAGCGAGTCATTACCG